CCCAGTCATTGGGTATTCCTGCCTTTGATGGGTTTCCGGTGTGCGTTCATTCTGGTGCGCAGTTGTTGTTTGGTCTCTCCTATGTATTTTCCATCAGGGCATTTGGTGCATTGGATGAGATGTATTACATTTCTGGAGGTGCAGCTGTAAGATCCAGGAAGTTAGTCTTGAAGTTTGGGGGGAGCAGAAATGCGGGGTGGGGAGGTCGGGGGGCAGGGGGAGTGCAACTGCACCACTGCATCCTCCCCTGGATCTGCCCCTGGCCAACACAAGGACAGAAGCAAAGTTCTTATTCTTCAGTGATGAGGCACAGCTGTGTAAGAAGATAATATATAACTTTAGTCTGAGGACTTCAAATGGCTTTTGCAAGTTTTAAACAAGTAACCCTCTCAGCCCCACTAGAAACTGGGATTGGCCCGATTTATAGAGAAAGAAACAGAGAGAGAGAGAGAGAGAAGCCAACCTTTCTAAGGTGGCCTTTGCTTTCTTTTTATGGTTGCCTTGGTTCTTCAGACCTCAACAAGGGGCACTGAAGATGACTGTTTTGTAATTTGCCGGTACTTATGTCTTTCTTCAGAAGGACTGTGACTAAATATAACTTGACAGTGCAGCTGTTTAGAGACACCTCAAGATGATCCTCTCTTGACATGACTGACAGGTATGTGGGCAGCTCTACTGTGTCATTATTTCTGTGTAATTTTTACAACTTAGATAATTAAACCGTAAATCTAGTAATGTCTCTCCCTCCCATCAATCTCAGCTGAGTTAACATCACCTTAGAAACAAAGTTGTGACTGCAATTTCCAAGTGTCCATTAATGTGAAGTCCTCCATTTTAAGAAGTCCAGATTGGGAACATAGGACCTGACAGACCACGGTTCTGAACAGCTGAGAATCCACCGGAAGTTAATGGAAGATGGAGGTGCCCAAAGCCTCTAAAAATTTGGTCTTAAATCTCAGTATCTCAGATTGGATACCGAGATATTTAGGTATCAAGACCCAATGTGCATTCTTGAAAAAGGGGGCTCCTGTCTCTTTCTACTTTAGTTTCTTCATATGTAAAATGGGGATAAAATGTGCAAGTCCCGTGAGGGTATTGTGGTCAGGGGACTCCACAAGGATTTGAGTGACTGCTATTTTCTTGTCTCTGATCTAATTCAGACCATTTTTTTAATCTTGGTCCCTCACATCCCTAGGAAGAGCCTTAACCACCAGGATGTTTGGATGCAAGGACACTGTCCTGGAGCTAAGCCACCTTTCTTGAAGGAAGTTTCACACAGACAGGTCCATTTCTGTGAAACGTTTCACTTTGGATAAGTATTTTTGGTTCAATTCCTAGGAATATAGTTGAGAGAAGTAGCTAGCCATGTTAGTCTGAAGTCAGGCAGAAGGCATAGCGTCTTATAAAGTAGGGTGATGCTTACAAAGCTTATGCTTTTCTGAACAAGTTTGTCTCTAAGGTGCTACCTGACCTGCCTTCTACCAGAGTTCTGATTGAAATGGTCCTGGGAGGCCAAAGAGCTTATTGTTAATTCTCAGTTCAGTTAGTCCAGTTATTTAACTCTCTCTTCTTTTGCTTTTATGCTGTACATTGAAGTGTATTTACCATTAGCTGCTTTCATATAAGCATATTATTATATGAAACATATAAGAAGCTTTCCTTGAGAGGCCGGGATCCTTACTCTGCTTCTCAAACTGGTCTGTCCCCTTGGGTTACACATTCTCCTTCTCTCTGTCTTTATTCTTGTTCTACTCTGCCATCTAGCTGCTACTGTTTGCTCTACTCCTTGTTCCTTTCTGGCTATTAAAACTTTAGTTGTCTCCCCCCTTCAGGAAGCACCACTGGCTCAAAGCCACTTAATTGAACAAAATTGGATTGAATGTAGCCTTGTTGCAAGGACAAGGTTTATTTGAGCACAACCCTCGTCAGTACACGGCAAAGACTGAATTTCCTATTCATTCAGAAAAATGTCTGGTGGACAAATAGTTTATACAAACTGACATGACTTAATAGGCCTCCTGGAGCTTAAGCAGTCCTTATAGTTAGATGATACATCTCTTAAGACAAAGACAGCTGCTGGGAGATGGGTCAATGCAAGTTACCTCCTTTCCAAGACCAGATCTGGACTAAAACGTTTTGCTGGCATAGCTGTATCAGCTCACAGTGTATCTCCCAGTCAGCATAGCTCTGCTGGCAAAAGACCTTGTGATGGTTGGCTGATCTCAACCAGAGAAGTGTAGCAATGCCAGCATCTGCTGTGTCTCCACTAGGGGTCTCAGACTGGTATTTTGGCAGAGGCCCATTCTGTAGACAAGCCCAAGATACTGTCATACCAAGAGGGTTCCTGATTTGCACGCTTGTGTTCCTCAAAACATATTGTCTAGCACGGTGCTTCCGAACTGTCATAAGCTGTTTACTTCTGAGTGTGCTTTCAGCTGAAATGACTGGCACAGATTTGTTTAAAAATGAAACCCTTCTCTATCTGCCATTCTCCTGTAATCTGTAGAATGTACTGATAGTACATGCATGTGATGTATACAGCTGGTAGGTTTTGCTGGGCTAATAACAAGCTCCAGTTAGTGACTTCCAGTTTCATTTGGGTGTTTTAAACCCCAGGCACGTGTTCTTTTAATAGCAGGATGGGATCTGATCCCCAGTCCCCCAACAATTGCACCCGTTGTCATGCCACATGTATGGCAGAAGGCACAATTTTGGGATTAGGGATCAGATCCCAATCACACCCTTTCCACTTGCCAGTGAAGGAGGATCATGATCCTGGGCTCTCCCTGCACTGGTAAGTTGAAAGCCAGGTGCACACCATCTGGTTTGAGACCTGAGGCTGTCTAACCCTGGACCAACAAGCAGCTGATTGTTGGTGAGCCCTGGGGTTTGAGAAAAAGTTGCAATTTGTAGATGTCTTAGGGTACCCCCCTCTCCCTTCTGTGGGAGCTACAGGGCAAAGCAGAAAAAGTTGCTAAGTATGAAGGTTGCCAGTAACTCTAGAAAGCTAGTAACCCACTCCCCCAAGCAGCATATTTTTGGCATTGGGACAGGGACTGTCCTGATGCTGCCCCCCTTCCCAATGCTGGTGCTGACAATCAGTGGATTGTCAATACTGGCCTGGGGATGTGACATGTCAATTTATGGCACCATACAAGTGAGCAATAAAGATGTTCCACATATTTTGTGGAACATCTTTGTGGCTGGTTTGCCACTTTATGGCACCATACACTGGCTGAACATTTACTGTTACTATTTATGGTGCAAGTAACATACTAATTGCACCACAAATGTAATATGTGCCAGGCAGACAAGGTTCTTTGGGTGAATAGACTTCATTCCATCCAGAAAGAGCACACACCAACTGCAGAGACTTCCTCAGCCTGATGAAGGGTTTTTAAACCCGAAAGGTTGCTATAATTTTTTTCCCAACTATTTAAGTTGGTCTAATAAAAGAGATCATATTCACCCAAAGAACCTTGTCTGCCTATGTCCTGGGACCAACATGGCTACAACCTACACCCCTGTAACATGTGCCAGGGACTTTTGAGTTGTAGTATTAGATATTTGCTTATCAAAAATGTTTTCTGTTGTTCTGTCAGATTTGTGGGTCAAAGAAAGCCATGTTATGGCTATGCATGAAGGGAAAGAAAATAAGGAATGTTAATTCTTTTGCCTTGTGTATAACAGGATGTAGGATGTGCCTCTAAAAACAGAAATGTTTGATTAAACTACACCTTTGCTTCTCCTTCTCTAGGTATCTTATGGGGAGGGCCAGACTGATATATAAGTATCATTATGTGCATCTAATGATGTCTACAGGTAGGTTCAGAAGCAGGAATCTGCCAATAATGAGCAACTTTAACATTCAAATTGCACTAACATCTGCATGCACTAGGACATTCCTTTGAAATAGGATGTGCCATAACATTGGCCAGTGTAGAATTTGTTGTGCAAATGTGGGGGCCTATGGTCAAGAGAGATGCAGCCCTAGCCTAGTTCCCACTTGCAAGCCCGATCTCCTTACTAGGTTTCTGGTTGTAGCCGTGTTGGTCTAAGGACATAGGCAGGTAAGGTTCTTTGAGTAGATGTGATATCTTTTATTAGACCAACTGAGTAATTGAAAAAAAGTTCTTAGCAAGCTTTTGGGCACAGTCACCCTTCTTCAAGCATAGGGGGTCTCTGCTGATCTCCTCACAAGACTTTCAGATTCTTTTTTCACTTCTGGGTGGATAAACAGCTGGAAAAAAAACTGACCCTCATAAAATTGAGAGCATTGACTGTGCTTGAGCTTGCTTATTGAGTGCTCCCAAGAACCACTGAATATATAAAAAATTATTGCACTATTAAAACTTAAGAATCTTTGCTGATGGAGAACATGTATCTTTCCCAGCCCAGTAGTAGTTGTTGAGGCAGGAGCTCTGGAGTCCTGGCTAGAGCTGCTGCTTTTACCAGGCTGGGCTAGGGCAGTTATGTGATCTGGGCCCGGGCTGGAGTAGGGCCACAGCTGGAAGGTAAGTGATGGGGTGGGGGGAGATGAGGCTGCAGGAGAGGGAAATGGTGGGAGGGGAAGACAGGCAGGAGCAGAAGTGGCTGGAAGCAAGGGTGGCCAGGCCTAAGGAGCAGGCAGTGTGGGGAGGGTGGGTGCCAGGTGCTGCAGGCATGGAGAGAGGCAGGCAGCTGTGTGCGGGCTGGGGCAAGTGATGGATGCAGTGTTGCCAACTCTCATAATTTTTGGTGTTGTTCTTAAAGGCTATGGTTTGGGAATGTGAAAAACTTAGCTCTTTCTTTTATCAATCTATATACATATAAATATAAATAAAAGAGCTAAGTTTTTCACATTCCCAAAGACT